TTTGCTGAAAAAATAAGAAGGAAACTTAGGCATTTAAAAACTGAAAATGAGTAGAAAATTAATGCAGCTGAAAAAGCTTAATAGAACTTTAAATTGACATAGTTCATTAACAAAGGTCATTAATAAATTAAGCTTTTTTTTATAAAATGATAATTTTTCATGAAAAATACAGTCTAAAAATGCTTAGAAGAAGGAAGATAAAGAGTTTTACTTCTATAAGAATTGCTTAGTTAATGTTCAAATTATTTTGTTTCACATTTTTTAATCTGTTATTGTTTTAATGAAAATTACATATTGTTTTAATGAAAATTATATATTGTTTTGTTTCCGTTTATTCTTAATGTGTCGTTAACATTTTCATGTATGGTCTGCAATCAACTTTTTGAAGGTCGATTTGTTACTTATGACGAAAGTGAGTTACATAATATGTCATTATGCGTTTTGAAAAACGCATGTACGCGATGTTATCGTCATGCGGTGATTTTGCAGGTACTACTTTATTTTTTACCACGATATTTTCGACGACGACGTTTTTGAACTGCGAAGTTTTTGAACCGCTTTAATTTCGTCCACGAACCAAGATATTTTGTACCACGATGTTTAGAACTGCGATGTTTTCTCCCATGATGTTTGGTACCACAACGTTTTCTCCTTGCGTTGTTTTCTCCGCGACGTTTTCGGCTGCGGTGTTTTCGTCGCGATGTTTTCGGTTATGCCTTTGACATTAATTCCAGTTAACACTTTATAGGTTTTTCCTTGATTTGGTAAAAGTTAACTAGTTTTAACTCTTAATAGACGTGAAGCGAATTATCGCTATCTCTGAAACTAACTACAGAGTCAGGGAATGATTTAAATAAACCTTTTTATTTTAAACGGAATTTAGAATATAAATACATGTTCTTGTGTTAACAATATCAACTGCAGCTCATGGTCATGTAACTAAACAAAAAAGTCAAAGTCAAGTTAAAATGTAGAATAGTAGCCAAAGAAAATAATTTTATTTTATTCAATTTAAATATACTCTAAGCTATAGAATACTACTCTAGGCTCTGTTCTAACAATTTAAATATACTCTAAGCTATAGAATACTACTCTAGGCTCTGTTCTAACAATTTAAATATACTCTAAGCTGGCTCAATAATTCTACCGACGCATTAAATTCAAGTGTCAGCAGCGATAAACAAAGCCAAATAATTACAATTTATCAGAGCTGGCGGGAACTAAATGTAGCGTGCACGTGCAGGCCAGAAACACATTCTGTCTTACAATCCGAAAACCTCGGCTTAAGTACTAGCTATACTAATTTGCATACTGGTAAGGAAACGGAAAGGTTAAGTTATAGTAAAAGATGATATTATAAATAACTGGTTAACTTAAATAATAACCTTCTTCCAAATTTCAGCCAAATATATAGATATATAGTTTTCCCCCCCAATTTATTCCGAGCAATATATAGCTGATGAACTGAGAAGTTCAGAGAATGGATCGCCTGCTCTGATTACCTTACCCTAGTGTAGTAACTGGTTCGCTTTTAGCTAGCGCAAAGCTGAAAAGTCCTCTTTTGCAGAAATTAATTAATCTTAGATAAGTGGTAATTACAGGAGTCCAGGAGTAATTAACATTAAGAAGTGATGAAAAACGAGAATGAGAAACAGTACAAGAACAAGTAATAATGGGGAGTGGAGATAGGCTCTTTTCGGTTCCATACAATTTAGAAGGATTAACCGAAATAAATAACAGAAATAGAAAGTTCAGAATTGATTACTCTTGTAATTAAGTCTGGTGAAAATAGAGATACTTCGATAATAATTTTAAGAAAAAAATTGCACTTGTTAAAAAAGAACTAACGTAAAAGTAGCACCGAGGAAGCGAAACATGCCGCTTTTCTTACAGGTCAACTCCTCAAATACCAACCCTCTCCTATTTGCTTGAGTCTGGTGTTTAGAAGAGTAATCTTGTTTTTGACCTTGAGTTCGTGATGCGTCGGAGAGAATTTCAAACTAGTAATGTATTAGTTTAATTATTGTTTTATTGGAAATTTTTTATTTCTTCAAACAATTAGAATAGGATTTTCAAATCATTCCCCGCAATTTCAGTATTTCTTAATTTGTGTAAATACTTAACTGGTGTAACTGCTGTAATAAATGACGTTAATTCGGAAAGGTCATTGCTTCCAAAGATATTTTCTATATCTTTCATTGCTGACGAATTCAACAAAACTGCTGTTGGGGTTCATGTTATTGCTGCTTTGGAGGAATACAATTTAGCTTTTAGATTTGAGTGTAAATTAGAATTTTTAGAGTTAGAGAAGATTTCTTATCTTTTTCATAGGTGAAGTAGTTTTAGGGTGTGAATTTGTTTTGTTCATTTCCCAGTAAAATATGGTTCAAAGTATTAACATACCAAATCGTTATTACTTCGAAGAAACGAAATGTAATTATTGTTTAAGTGTACATTTGCTATATCACTTTTTTATTGGCAAATGTAATCGTACGTTTTATATGAAAGTTAATTAATTCCTAGATAACAGTACGCTACTGTTCCACTCTTCTATAATTTTGCTAAGACGTTGTCAAATTTAAATGTACACAAAATAATGTTAGTGAGAAAAGTATATTTTGGCTTTACTGCTTTTACAAAAACAATAACGAAATTTAAATCAAATATTGATATAAATTTTGCAAAATTCCGTGGAAAGATAAGAATGCGCTCCTGCAAATCTTAGAAATTACGTTCTTTAAGTTCATGTTAGATTATTTAAAATTTTTCATTTCTAATTTCAAAATCAATACAGCCTCTTTTTTTTTTTTTTTTTTTTTTTTTTTTTTGTAGTGTCGGAAGAGGTATTTTATTCCATTTCTCTTGAATAGCTATCCAAGGAGGTATATACCCAAAGAGATATAAGTTCAAGGAGGCTTGTAGGTCGACATTTGAACAATTAATTCGCTTTTTAAAAGTCCAAAGCCCAAAACTCCACGGTTGATATTTCAGAATAATTAGAAGGCATATGAATGAAGGGTAGGGGGCTTGATACCCACCCGTTTCTTCTTCCATTTTTTCCAAAAAATTAATAGTGGGTTTTTGCGAGTGGGTGCTTGCTTTGTCTTGATGCAGTTCTATTGATTGATGACTCTGCGGCTAAAGAGAGGTTATCTATATTTAAAAACTGAGCATCAGATATATTCCAGATAATATATAGAATTGTTCTTAAAATTTTTTTCTCTACTCTCTTTATTTTTAATTTACCGTCATATGTGTGGAGATCATCGACGACCGATGCTGACTTAGAATACCTAGCGAGGTGACGTCATCCCAACTTAGCACAGTGCGGAGCAGTCGAGACAACGCCAGATAGCGTCCAGACGTGGAAAGGAGATGGAGGCAAGCAGACGGCTTGCGTAAATCTCTCCATTAGAGTTGGTGGGAAACAAGATGTGTTTCCTTTCGATGTCTTAAGTTCCTTGTAGCCAAGCTGATCATATTGGATCTAAAGCTAGCTGTGGATGGATGAGAGGATAACGTATTCTCTCAAGGCATGAGCCATCCGTGCCTATAGAACTGTTAGAAGAATATGATGCGTAAGAAATGTTCATCATTACATGAATCCTGTTGTGGACTGACGTATAACTATCATGACGTCACCTGCAATATTAATTTTACTTAACTTACCGTTTATTACTTTTATCTATTTCTTATTAGTAAAATAAAGCATTTAATAATGCAATACACGTGCTCTATCGTGTGTTTTTGAAAGTAAATACTACATACGAAAAACAGCAATAATAATAAATCCATTTGAAAATCTTTCTGTAAAATCTTTGAATCATGTTTTAAGATTTTTTTCTCTTCTTTGATGATAATAATGAATCTCTTTTTAGTAACATCTGTTAGCAGTTTCCACAGTCTACCGCCAAATAGCGTCATTACATTCAAAGATATTCAAAGCATTTGTAATATTAAAAACGAGAGATAAAAAATGTAATCATGGCAACAGACAGATATTAATTACTCATGCATTTTTTAAAAAGATAAGTAGAATTAAGTATTTTGATGATGTTGGTTGTGAATTTCTGTCCTGATAAATAAATCCAAAACGATACACATAGTGTATATAAATGTAAGAGGAAAATCCTGACGCCAACACATCATTTAAATACACCCAAAATTCAACTCTTACGACAACACTTTTTCACTTTTGTCCAAATAAATGTTTCTTATAAAGAATTCTGCAGCGCGTTCTGCGATATATCGTAGAGGAAGACAACGCACATTATGTTTTTTTCTTTTTTAAAATTCGAATTAGCATTAATCACTTTGCTTAAATTTGACGTTGAGCATTTTAATGATTTTGCTATTGATCTTTGATTTAAAGGAATTTCTTTTAACATTAAAGATCTTAACTTTGAAAAATTCGAAAAATTTCCGTTTTTTTCCTTGCATATGTATTTGAAACAATTTTTCCTCTTGAAGCCAAACTTTGACCTTTTTTTAACTTTCGGGTTGACAGTATTGCCTATCGTAGCTTTAGATATCGAAACACCTCGGCTTTCCCGTGTTTTGTGTTAACGAAATACGTATAATTATCTTCGAAAAGAGCACAGACATAACCTTCGATCCATTGCTTCTTTAAAACCGATATTTTTCATGTAAACAAATTTGTCAAGCAGTAGATGATAATTAATACTTTCAAAAACATAACTGCAGTTAAAAAACAAATTTCCAAGCAGATAAACTTTTTATAGTAAAGCAAAATCCTCTTAAAATTGTGCGTGAGCTGATACAAACAGGCTCTGTACTAGCGATACTGCAATTTTGCACATAATTCCACTAAAATTATTTACATATTCGTAACAGCACTTAATTTTTTTCATTTCACTTATACAGTGCGCATACTGAAAATGATTTTCGAAGATTTAAAGCAATAAGATTAAATCTGTGGAATAAAGGGTTTTCATTTATTTCGGAGTTAAAAGTATTTTAAATTTATTCTTGTTTTTCAGATTATGGATCCGAACATCAGCTTAATGAAGATGATCAAGCTCAATTACTGGAGGAAAGTTCTCCTAAAGAAAATTCTGAAGTTACCGATTCAACGACTGACTATCTCAGGTAATTCGAAATCTGCCTAATCTTTTATATTTATTTTCATGTTGTCTCGTTCTAAAATACTCGAATACGAAAATAATGGAGAAAGAAAAAGACTGAAGTTACATATGAATCTCCATAATCTTATTCTATAAACCAACATTATATATTAAAAAAGAATGTTAAGAGACGCCATTGCTACGTAATTAAAAAATTCGAATAAATAAATAAATTTTCTCTGTCAGAGGCACAAACGTAAACGTTGAGCTCTATGGTCCTTTCCCGTTAATTCCTCTTAAATTACACAGATAGATGCATAGTTGGAAGAGTAGATTCTCTCGCACAGCACTTTTCTCAAATATACAAAATATTTTTTTAGTGCGGTAATTGATTTTTTTCAGAAGGAGGCTAGCATGTGTATAATAACCCTTTTCGGCACTTTGTTACGTTAATAAATTTCTGCTTGGCTACTGACTCACATTATTGATTGATTAGAATAACCAAACAACATTAGTACTTAAAGAAATGATAAAAATGAGTAACTTATTGGCATCTCAATGTAAGGAGAAGGTTGTTTCTGTCATGACTAAGCTGTTTAGGCCGATTGGTTCTCTTTGCAAAAAATCGTTTGACAATTTCAAGCAAAGTATTTTACTTGTTCTTCTTCCTACATAGCTCGGAGACCAAATCTGGATGAGATTAAATTTGCTATTCCCACACAGAACCTTAATAGCGTAGACAGCTGTGAATTTAAGCTAACCATCAAATCACTCAGCACAAAGGCCGGCTCTACAACTGTTCTTTTAATGAATGGCATCTGTTCAAAGAACAGAATTGCACTCAAGTGGGGAATTACATCATCCAAACATGCAAATTGATTGTGACGGACTGAAATAAAAAGAAAGAATGCCTAATTGATTATCCTGATAGCGTTACCTGTTCCAATGACGGCAAAATCTACGGCCACTCTAGCCTACATATCACAGATGCCCAAAAGGGTTGTGAAGATACAGTGAAATTCAAAATCTCTCAATGTCCTTGGCTAACAATTTTGCTACTTTTGAGGAAAAGGTAACGATCCTTCTATGAAAATAGATGAAGAAAGCGAGCAGAAATTTGAAAGTTTAGCCCAGATGTTCTACCTCAGACCTGTCCTTTCGTAGAAAGAGATCAAAGAGCTTTTTGTAAGCTGCGAAATTGACGACTTTGATGCCAAAGACAAAAATTCTGTTTAAATCTCACTCACCAAGTTCAGGCTATCGCCTTTGTCAGTATAGAGAAAATACAGTTCAATGTTCTCACTGCAGACAAAATACCCATACCCTGTCTTTAGAAAAAGGCAATTCAAGGAAAGCATCCTCAAATTTGCCCCCAGATTCCCGAAGCCTGACGACAGTAGAACTGAAGTATCTCAAGTATAAGAATGAATCTTATCCTGTTCGTCCTCTACGAGTACTGAAGAATTTCTAGACTGCCATCAAGTACTTACTGCAAGAAAGAGGAAATTTGACTGGAAATTTTGGATATCATAAAAAATGCAAAATAAACTCAATAGGTCTGAATAAACTGATGGTAAACAATAGGTAGTAAAACTGAAATTTGCATCATATTTAGCGTAAATCATAGAAATTAAAATTTCTTTTCTTGTTGCAAGATTACTTTATCTCCTATACCATGCGATGGGCCTTGCCCCAACTACAGCTACTGACAACCTCCTATCAAGACCAGAAGCCAGCTCATCTCCAGCTGATAAGCGATGATTTCTCTGTTTTGCTATGATTGCAAAGCCAAGATGCCTTTTGCTCAAGTGATGTATTGAACTTAGAGGATAAAGTGCTTCTCTTTTTTCTCTCTTTAACTTTTCAGATTTTGCCAAGGAGTCAACTCCGAATTTCTTTACTTGTTGCATGGAATAAACTGCGATAGCCGGGAAGATCCCAGGAATTCTCCTTAAAAACTTCAAATGTCTGTATAACCAATGTGATTTTTAGGTAGAGAGCCAAATGACATTTCAGATGTGTTGGCGATTTCCTCAAGTGTCATGTTGGAATAACGAATACTGAATGTCTTACTTTCTAACTACTTTACATAAATTAAATACATTATTGCATGACAAACAACGATCAACAAACTGCTAAATTTGTAGCAAAAGGATAAAAAAAACCTTCAGTTACTAAAATTGTTCCTAAAAAAATTACAAAAATGACTTACAACTAATTTCAGAAGTTTAGTTTAACTTTCATATAGTGTTCGATCAAATAAACATTTAGTAATTTCTTCGCTTTCTTGAAAAACGGGTTTTACTATTTATAACATCGATTCCAAATTTCGCATTAAAAATTACCAACTCTCAAAAAGAAGCAATCGGTAATTCTCCAATTTTTATATAATATTCTTTCAGTTTTTGTTGCGTTAAAATTACAACGGATAGATTAAATTCCTTTGAAATATTCTAAGTTCAACAAAATCTATCAGTTTTTAGTTTGAGATATTAATCCCAATTCTCGCTTATCTAACAACATTTTAATACCTTGCGTCAAAATTTTATATTTTTTCCAAAAGAAGAAGACTTACAGCTTCATTTATCAAAAAGTGATTTTTTAGAAAAAATAAGAAGACACCTGAGTAGTATTCTTCCTCCATCAGACAGAGCTTTTCTATATCACGAAACTCATGAGCTTCTTTAAATTTTTTAATGCCAAAGAAATGTCAAATTTTGCTAATTATTATTTATTAAATTAACTCTTATTCTTAAATCAAATATTTTCAGTTTGATTCATGATGAAACATTATATTCTTCAGCTCAAACGAAGGTAGATGTTCCGGTAGAAGGAAGCAAAGACGTTATAGAACAACATTCTCTTCAGCACAGCTGGAAGAACTCGAAAGATCATTCCACGTCAGCCATTACCCAGATGTATTTTCAAGAGAAGAACTAGCCTCACAAATAGGACTTACAGAAGCTCGAGTCCAGGCAAGTACACATTTTCAGAGTTTTAAATTCACCAAAACAAAGTAGGAAAGGGATACTTTTATACTTTTTCACAAAATTAGAAATATTATTTGATTCCTTATAAAAAAGATAATAATTATAAATTTCTAATATCTTTTCCTTCTAACAAAGGAAATCTTTAAACCTTGAACTTCAAACAATTTTGAGAAAAATAGAATATATTATGTACATTCAAAAAGAGTTAAGTTAGAGCCTGTTAAGTTAGCTTCTAAATGTCTGTAGGTAAATCAGAAACAAATTATTAAATACGAAGTTTCGGATCAACAAAAGTATACGTACAGGCAAAATTAACTATATTTTGAAATTTTGAAAGTTGCAAAATGATGCTGTATCGCCAAATATACACTAATTTGCAGAACGTAAGCAATTTCGTTAAAATTGGCAGTAATTCCTCAAAATAGCAGGCGGCAGACATAAAATTCATACTACAGTACTTGACAAGAAAAGTATAGTAGCAATAAAAATTAATAGGTTGCATGCAGTACGAAATGAACAAAATGACTTTATTGATAGAATAGCTTAGTACAAAAAACTGCCTAGCAAAGCGGAAAAACAACAAACCAGTCTTAGTAAGGCATATGGACTTTCTTTAACTGCAATGATTGCGTTGCACCGTATGTCGGTACTCAGTAGTAGATTTTTTAACATTTTTTGTAATAAGAGTTTCAATTCTTCAATGAGTATCTGTTCCAGTTATCTGGTGTTCTCCGGAGAGTAAGATCTAGCCGCCAAGCATTTTTGTAAAGCATCCCTCACATGTTCAATGGAATTTAAATCAGGGGAGCATGCTGGCCAATCCATTCTGTGGCTATCTTTACTTTCCAGGCGCTTCACAACAGCATGAGTTTCACAACAGCATGAGCCGGGCATTGTCATCCATAAACACTAAGTGAAGACCAATGGAACTCCAGAAAAGACGCACGTGAGGGAAAATAATTTCGTCACAATAACGATCTTCTGTAAACGGACTATCAAAAATACGGAGCTCCGTCCATCCGTTCATCATAATGTCTCTTCATAGAGCTCGCATGTCTACCCCAGCGGTCTGTTTCCCTGATGTTAGTGGGATGAAAACGTGTCCTTATCCCTTTCTATAACAGCTGGCTGCAAGAATCGTTTGTCAGAGCGAAATGACTCCATCGGTTAAGAGGACGTGATTCCATTGATTAAGGAGTCCTGTTTTTGTATTCTCTACACCACTGTAAACGGTGCTAACGACAGGCTAACTGTGAAAGGTATGCAGCATTTAGGACGGTAAGTGAATAGGCCACCTTTATAAAGCCGTCTGGCCACAGTAAACTAGGACAGCTGTCGTTCAGTTATCGTGCGCAACTGTTGAACATTGTTGTCCCGAATCTGGGGTTTTAATCTCTTTACGTCGCAAGGCGATATCTCGGTAACCAGTCACTATTGTTTTCCTTGGTTAACCACCTTTACCAACATTCAACTTTCTTTCACTAACCACCAAGCTGTACCTGTCGTCTGGGAGGCTTTCTAAGCTTGTGAAACAACAATTTAATCAATTCAAACTTTTGGGTGGCAGAAGTCAAACTACAAACCTCCTCAAGCTTTCCAATCAGTCTAGCACGTGCAAAGGCATCCTGGTGTTTCTTGTAGCGACACTGCACATAGAATCTCACATTCACTTGCAGAAGAATGCCTGACAAAGGCGCTTCCTTTCTTCTTTTTAAGTTGTCTTGCCCTGCGTGCTCTGACTCTTCGAGTTTTGGATGCCTCGAAGTGTCTGACATAATGGTGCTGATATCTGCATATGGTTCCCCTTTCTACTGAGTTGGCTTTTCGCTGTACTCATAGTAAAAACCCTTTTAAACAATTTCTTGATTGTATGTCGAAAACTGAATTTGTTGTTTAATTTGCACATTGGTTGGATACATTTACAATACTTACTTCCAATTAACAGCTAATTTTATTAATATTACCTTTTTCTAAGTAAGCAAAACAGTTTGCAGTTTCTGTGAATTTTAAATTATTTCGTTTTAATGAAAAAGATATATATATTTTGGAACAAGAAATATTGCAAAAATTATGATCAAATACAAACTGAAAACAATTATGTTGGTAACCGTAGGTAATAAATTAAATAAAAGTTAATGAAGTTCATAAATGAATAGGTACACAAAAATTATGATTACTCAAATATACGTGTGCTGTCTTTCCTAGATATTTCTCAAAATATCTGGAGGTTTGGGAAATTTTAAAATTTTAGAAAACTTTAAAATAGCGCTGCATTGCCAAATATTATTACATTTTTGCAATTTTATCTGCATGTTTACAGTATTTAAGCAGCTAATTTTTTCTCATATTTTATTTTTAGATGATTATGTTAATATAGAGGGTGTTCACACATTTTCGTAAGATTTATGTATATAAACAAACCTTACAATTTTTTTTCTAATATGCTCAGTCTGACAGCCCTTTTATTGAACTATCATATTACATCTTGATTTCCAAGATAAAAGTCCTTTTTTTCGAAACATCAAGGTTGATTTTATTCCACTCCTTCTTTACAATCTTCCACAGTCCATCCAATGTTTTGGGATGCCGTTCATAAAGAGCTTGTTTTAAAAGTTCAACTGCACAGTAATCTATAGGAGACACATCAGGGGACTTGGGTGGGATGCATTTAAAGGAAATAGCTTCAATTCCGGTTTCATTTCTTAGTTTCTCAAAAAAAATAGAGCAGTAGATTTAGACGTATGGCTTGGAGCGTTATTCTAATGGATTGGGATTATTCAATTATGGCAAAGCACACGAGGGCTACCTGCCTAAAGGGAGGGATGGCTTCATGAAGGACTTTCTAAGGGAAACTGGCTCGTATACACGTTACACATGGGGAAAACCACGAAAACGCCCATGCAGCCAGCCCGTTCGCGGGATTCGAACCTCGGACCGAACTACCAGTGTTCAGCGTCTTTACCGCTCGTAAGCCAGAATACGAACAATTTTACAACGCGAAGAATAATGCTCGAACAAATTAGCTAATAAATCATTCGATTCACGTATATGAGAAATAAAAATAGGATCAAATCTTTATTCGGCCTTTACTTCAGTATAATCTTCAGATTTTAATTCATATTTAGGCCATTTTTCCTCTTCCTCACGCAACCATAGTGGACCATTCCACCACAAAGTACAATTTGGTAGGAGTTGAGGTTCAATACTACGAGAAGCAATGTCTGCAGGATTATGTTTAGAGGGAACATGATTCCAATGTTTAATAGGTATCACTTCTATGATTTGAGATGTTCTGTTTGCCACAAAAGTTTTCCACTTACGTGGATGAGCTGATAGCCAAGACAGAACTACCTTGAAATCCGTCCACGCAAAGATTTCAAAATTAAACTTCTTTAAAATGTTCAAAAGAGATCGCATTAATCTGTCAACAAATACGCAGCACAAAGTTCTAATCGAGGAATGGATACTTACTTTATAGGCGCGACTTTAGTCTTTGATACCGAAAGATTAACCTTAACCTTACCATTGCATTTTTGGCGACAGTAAATGGCTGCCGCATAGGCCTGCGAAGATGCATCATAAAATCCATGTAGTTGGATAACACTGTCCGTTGTAAGTATGACACATCTCGGAATTTCACAGTCATTGATTTGACTGAATGTCTCTTGAAATTTAAACCAATCATCTGAGATATGCTGGGGAACAACTGAATCCCAGTCGCCTTTAACTAACCATAGCTTTTGATAGGATATTTTAATCAATATAGTGCAAGGAGATAAGAAACTTAAAAGATCGAAAATGCGAGCAGATTCTGCTAATATGCGTCTTTTTGTTATAGGTGTGTTGATGTGCAGTGTAGCTTTAAAACTAAAGGTATCAGTAGTGGAATTCCAAAAAAGTCCTAAGACTTTCGAACTCGAATTAGGAGATATCTCAAAATCAGAATTCAATGAACAATGTTCCTTAAATTCAGTTAAGAATTCTACAGAATTTGAATTCCACTTCCTCAAATCAAAACCACGTGCATGTAAAATTGAAGATATTTTCTTGCAGACAGATACTGCATCATCAACTGTATTTGCACCCGACAATAAGTCGTACATATACATATCCTCTTGCAATATACGAGATACATCTGATTCCTCTTTAGACTCTAAAGCTACCTGCTTCAGACATCGAGTTGCTAAAAATGCAGAGGAAAGACCATAAGTAACTGTTTTCAACTTGTACGTGCGCATTTCATCACTGGAATTGTATCGCCAAAGTATCAATTGATAATTCTCATCTTCAGGAGCTACGATCACCTGACGATACATCTTCTCCACATCGGCTATGAAAACAATTTTAAGAAATCGAAAATTAATCAAAATCTCAAAAATATCTCTTTGTAATTTCGGACCTACCCCTAAGAGAATTCAATGATATACCATTTTCAGATTTACAGGATGCATCAAAAACTACTCTTAATTGTGTCGTTGTGCTAGAAGGTTTAATGACCCCATGATGAGGAAGATAAAACTTTTCTATATCCGATCTGTTAGATAAATCATCATTAATCACAGTCATATGTCCTAACTGTTCATATTCATGTATGAAACCTTTATACTGTTTTTCAAATTCCGGATTATCTTTGAATTTTCGTTCCATAGAACGCAACCTAGAAATAGCTGCCGGTTTTGAAACACCCAACTTCAAATGCGATTTATAAAATGGAAGTTTTACAACAAATCGCCCATCTGAATTAACAGAATGAGTGTTTTGAAAATGTGATTCACAAAATTGTTCCTCAGGTGTCAGAAATTCCTTTTTCCCAACATCGACAATATCCTCCATTTCCCAAAAATGCTTAAGTTCGTAATCAACATTTATATTATCTTCTAACTTTATGAAGTGTGAATTTGCTGTTTTGGGACCTTCCATATTATTCCCGACCTTCCCAGCAATCACCCAACTGAAAATTGTATTTTGAGCTACAGGCTCATTTT